CCGACGCCTAGAGCGGCGCCTAGGCTTAGTAGACTTCTTGTGGAATCTCGATATATCATCCTCGGCATTCGAAGCAGTCGCACCACTCGAAACAGTCTGATGCGATTTGGCAGACTCCTGGCTTGAACAGATCATCTTGCTGTCACTAGAAAACGGTATGTGTTCGATTATGTATCGTTGGTGGATGCTGACTAGCGCTAGGATATTGTGATACATCGTGGGTGTTTGGAGACAGAGTTTCAGACCTTGGGTCGGGAAGATGAGTCGCAAGTCTGGCGCACTTTGGGTAAAAATTGGCAAAGTAATTTTTTTTTCGAAAATCGGACTCGTGTAGTATTTGAGCGATAGAACTATACTAGGATACATGCTGCTGAAAATTTCAGGCGAATTTAAGGCCTATATAACGAGCTAAGCTGGTGACACGTTTTCGCACGACTAGATTGCGCGTACTGTATATAGATCGAATCTCAAATGGGGTAGCTTAGAGGAGCGAATGCTCGACCTACGAAGCTACTTGATTACTATGTGATAGACAGCGATACTTCTGATAGACCTTTATAGAGAATGTTGAGGAGTTCGATTCATCAGTCGATGAGACAGCCGATCATGCAGCATTAGAGCTTAGTACTCGAGTGGACCTCTTCTGAATCATTCTTTCGCAACCCCTGGATACTCAGAGTGATCCCCCGTGCTCAGATCGTCGGAAGATGGCCAAGCACTTACAGAAGAGGTGATGGGTCACCATTCAGTTCGACAACAGCAACTCTAGTCCTGAGTAGAGCTTCCCTTAGGAGCCGCTGGTTGACGCACTAACTGGAGCCCCTTCAAAGAGTAACAGCGCGAGAAGCTCTGGCAAGACTAGGCCTGGTGAGTTTACGGAGGGGTCTTAAACTCATTTTTTTGAACAATACCAGATTGATTTCTCTCGATTGCTCCAAACGCGTAACCGGCGTGCCCCTTGATCTCTGCCTGATATTCTCTCAACCAATCCCAGAATGCTTCCTGGTGAAGCTTGTCCTAGAAAATCGCTCTAGTATTGCGAAGGTTCTACTATTCAGACACGGACGATCCGACGATGCACGATAGCAGTCACCACCGTCATCATCACAGACATGCACGTGATGATGACGGTCTGTTGCCTCCTGTGGCCGAGGCACTGCTCAGAATCCTCCAGGCCAGCCCACATTGCACTGTGCAGGAGGTAGGCAACAGCAGCTGTTACGAGGGCGGTGAACAACTCAGTCCACGGGTCCTGGGTCCGAGACAGGTGGAATTGAAACCATTTTGGTTATGAACCAAAATAGAAATTGAAACCCGCTGAATTGAGATGGTTCTTAGGAGACAAATATGTCCTCCAGTTTCCATATCATATCCACCTTCATGGTTCGCAGTAGAATACTGGCATGAAGTTCCACAGCCTGGACCACAGGTCTATCCTCAACTTCGGGCCTCCCAATAGTTTTTATGATCGGAAATCAATCTACTCTTACTGATAGAATAGAAAGTCACTGTATTGTGTACTCGGCCTCAGAATCGGTATACTTTTCTTACATGTTATATGTAGTAATACTTATTCCAAGTCCTACCTGCATTTTATCGATTGTTAATATAACCATATCCCATATTCATATGAATAGCCAATGATATATTCGGCTTCCCATCTGACGTTGATACCACTCCTCGTGTTCTCGTCATCAGTTGTCCTCGAGTGTTGGCCAAGTCCTCCGCAAACACGGTGCTAAGAAGGCTGCCCAGGCCTTCGAATTATCAATGCATACTGCAATAGTGAAGTCAGAAGGCTGCTCACTACCATCCACCACTGACGGATCCTTGAGTAACCTCACGCATGCTAGGCAGGATTAGTACGCTTCTTGATACTCTCGTGATCGCGGCAAGTTGTCAAGTTATAGAGCCCAAATAGTATATCGCTGAACTCGCTAGTATTGCCGTGGAAGTGAGGGAGTGTCGAGAGAATACGTGTGGTCGGATAATGCAACCTAGTGGAAGTTTGGCAGTACTGGGTTAGTAGTAGTTGGTGTGAGGGTGGGACAGTAAACCAGGATCGTTGTTGTGAGGAGAGAGATGGCAGGTAGTAGTAGTACTATTCCTTGTTATGGAGGTTGTAGTGGATACGACTAACCTACTATCGTAGTAGACATATTCCTAGTTCTTCTACTACTAGGTAGCAGCGAAGTGAAGCAGAGACTGAATCTTCTGGATAAGATCACTCGAACGATCCTTGAATTCGATGATGATGATGACGAGGCTATCACCACTACAACATGATATCATATCGAAAGTTGCCAATCACAGTGCTTGAGTTCAATGAGAAGTCAATTTCTTGTAGACGCAATTTGGTGGTCATGTTCAACGTGGGCTCACTCTAGAAGATGGGGAATAGCAGAATATGATCAATAACGACAATATCACCGCCCTTATCATTTTTGACAGCCATAGTATTGCCACTGTATTGTCATTGCGATTGACATCTCGGATGATCCCCACTGGGATGCCGAGCTCCGTCTTTCCCATGTCCTATAGATCACGTCCTAGGTTGTGGGCATCCTGCATACAGTAATGCGAACATTCTGATAAGCATGTTGTCGGTTAGTATATCTGATTCCACCGTTGGAATATATGTTTGCTTACCTCAGCTCCGGAGTTCCCTCACTGAACATGGAAGTTTGGATACGAATTTGGGTAGGAGTGTAAAGGAAGACAATGAGAATTCCCCAAGATGTTTATCGGAACTTATATTATCACCAACACATGTACTCTCTGTTCTCCCTTCTTGAGCAGTACTTTCCCGATGCCTACAGCACCTGTCCGTCACAGATGCCAACCTACATCATCAACAGCAGCAGCTCTATCGGCACAGAGTTCTCCCAGAAGGGAAAAATTCTGGCAGACCCCGTTCGTGAACGTCCAAAAAGTAAAGTCCGATTGGTGACGATATGGTGACGCGAATGTAGGTGTTCGGGGGTCATGCTCTGATGAAGGGGGATGTCACTGAGGAGCTTGACCGTGAGCTCTCTAAGAGGGTCAGAAGGGTGTATGGGAGTATATCTGCTAACAACTTCCTGCGTTATCCAGGCGGCAAGAGCACTGTGAAGGCACTCGATCTTACAGGTGGGAGGAGAGATATGTGTTCCTTTACTAGGGTGGAAACCAATGAGAAAATTTCAAAATTTTCTTGGAAAATTCCATAAAATTCCTCGAATTCCTAAATCTTTTTCAAAATTTCATATAGTCACCAACACATGTAATTGACCATGTGCATATTTTCCCCCTAACACTACGCGCCATAGCCATTAGATATAACGCTGTATACTAGTGTGAAAGCCATGATGGTTGATCATCTCGCCAAGTGGGGTAGTTCCGATATGTTTTTGCTGCCCTTTTGAGACGATATCATCATTATCACTCTAGGTAACTATGTCTACATCATGATGCGGACTATTTCGGATAGATGCTTTGTAATTCACATTGACGTTGAGGCATCTGATGGGAGGAATATCCGCATATCTCTCTCTAATATGTAAGTAGACGGGCATGTTCAAAACATCATCATCATCATCATCATCATCATCATCATCATACAGTGAAATGATCGAACAGTGAAATTCCTATATTTTCGCAGAGATGACATGTTTGTTATGTTCGAGGTTTCGGATTCGTAATCGTCGAACTTACAAGATTGATTCGTTTTGGACTACAATGAATATCCAGCACACTGTATATCAGGTTTAAGTCCACCAAAGTACAGGCCCCTCGAACGATACAGTGCCCGGTGCATCCTCCTGTTATCGATCGTTGGTGTATTCTCTGTGTACACTTGAGTGCACTCATGGCTATCTATTCTCCAGAGAAGGGCTCTGGGTCGAAGCATCTGCTACCGGATGTAGGGTAATTTCATGGCGCAGTGACGGAATGATGGAGCAGGTTCACTTTGTGAAGAGCATCCAGATAGGGTCCTCTCTACTACTACGTGGTATATACACTAGCGACAATCTTTATTCGATAGAGGATATGCCGCGGGAAATGCAGTTGACGCATAAAAAAGATGTTGAATTCACGTGGATGGATGTGCCCTTCGTCAAGACTGCTGTTGAGCATGGTAGGTCTCGGGCTTCTCTTTGGAACTTGAGAGCTTAGATAGCCGTACTGACTATTGCTAAGTTATGATAGATACGAAGCAAGGTGTCAGCTCTGACAGCACTGACAGCATCTTAACTCGACTGGAACCTACCTCCCCGCTGCCCTCGCTGACATGTAATGCATCAGGTCTACAAAGGAGGACTGTAGATGAGAATGAGGTGACCACTTCTACTCATGGAGTCTCATCCTCACTACTCTTCACTGACCATATCTTCCGATAGTCCATGTCGAACGTGGTAAATGTGAAGGTGTCTTATTGGTCGGCGTTTGTGAGCAATATTGTCGTTATCGACACTGTAATATACGTCAGTTGTTGTCGAATTTCACGTGGTGGAGTTGTGAGCAAGCCTGGGCTTGTTCTGGCCGATCTCGTCCTTTACGACTCAGGGATTACTATCAATCTTTCGCTAATATTACTTCAATAAAAACTCCGTATTATTCCTGAGCGGCTCGAGAGTGTTGCATAGAAGTAATCATTTCACTGCTCCTTCGAACTTATCTGAATTTTACCGCGAAGCTCATTTCATTTCTAACCCTCGTGAAGCTGAGTATTGTAATAATAATAATCTCCCTGTGGTGCTCACTATCAATAAGTCTATCACAGGTGAACCTGAACATACCAGTACTACCGTTGTCGTCGGCACGACCAGAGCTCATGGTCCTACCGTTACAGCTAAAACAGGTGTTGTGCGCCCGACCACAACTAAGTGGTAAGAATGTATCAAACCCGAGGAAATCATCAGTTGGACAGCGGAGGTTTGCAGTGTGGGTGCGGGACCAGGTGAGTCTTTGTGGTGAGCTTGGCACCTCTGAGGGAGGTGAGCAATATTGGAGAAATATATGTTCACTTTCCTCAACTGATCTGAGAGAAGTTTACAGAAACCAACAAGAAAAAACACAAATTTTAATATTGTTGCCCACACATGTAGTTGAACATGTGCATGTTCTTCCTCCAGACTGGAGATGATATTTGTTGATGGTTGAGTAGTTGTAAGTTGCTCACTAGGAGTACGTTTGTATATCAACATAGCATACAACTCATATTAGAAAGTCTCGCGGAAATGTTGTTAGACTACGACGATGCGACCATCAGTGTGTACGTCTTCGGCTGGGCATCTATCACTATACGGGATGGCTACGGGAAGACCTTCCGAGCCGAGCCTGATAACGGGTTGTGGCCTTGTATCGTGCCTAGCTGGTGCTGATTGTGGCAATACGGTTCTCACGGCAGAGGCGGGTGGGTGCGACTTTGGTTGTTGTTGGTCCTGATGGACTTCAAAGGTCAACCTCCTGTGGTCCGAGTGTGGAGACCGATGCTTAGTGGAGCACCTGTGTGTGTGATACCATGCTCTATGTTAGCGGGTAAGCTCATACCACTCCTCTGCTACATCGTGGACTCAGGTATAGATGATATTTGCTCGGACTCGGACACCCGTCGGGTCTGCATTCTCGGAAAGGAAGCTCAGAGGAAGCAACAGATGATCTCTATATGGAGTATCCCGTTACCGTCTACCACAGGGAAAGCTCCTGTATGCAAGCCGGCCGAGCTTATTGCTAAACAGGTAGGCTTCTGCTCGAGTGGTCTTTGCTCTTCTATCGTTGTGTGTTGAGAAGTCTGAGCCCTGTTAAGAAAGAAACAGCGATGAGAGTGTTGTTATCCAGAGTAACTGATTATGGATAGCTCGATCGGAAGGGTTACGACCGGTGATCTTCTGCGTTGAGATACTCGATGTTGTTTATGAATCTATATGGTTATTCATACTGAAACTCATCATTAGATTTCCAATTAAATTACTGTTATATATGTGTTGCTATCTATTTGTATAATTGAAAACTTTATATTCTGTTGATTGATCTCAGCGAAGATATGACCTACAAAATGTCACTGATGTAGTATATAAATCTCGCGTTGTGGATTTATTCTGTCTTAATGCAACGTGTAGTCGATCGTGGCGTCTCCACCAGTAATAGTTATCGTGAATTCGATCGTTATCAGCAATCAACAAAGTCCATATGGTAGGTAAGGAAACCAGAAGAGGTATTCACTCGATATGGCAAACGTCGTACACTGTGTATAAGAATGAACTTTGGTCAGGTCTGTGGCTCGTGGCCAGTCCAGGCTTTGGGGTTCTCGCCGTTTCGCTCATCCTCTCAAACTAATATCGTCTCCTGTGGATTCGAGAACATACGATTCTGG